TGCAAGATGTCGTATACGGTCACGGCCCGCGATCGTCTGTCGATGAACTCGGGATACATATTGACGTCACATATTGGCAGGATGTATAGGTTATAGATCGGCGCGGCTGTCGCAAAGCTGCGAGATACGAGAGGGTGTTGACCCAAGTAGGCACGCGCAGAGCCTGCGGGAATGGGGGCAGGAACACCCGCTGCATCGATCCTCAGATACGCGTCGTCGTCCACTGGCAAGGGTCGGCCATAATGATATACTCCACTCGGGTAACGCTCCCGGAAGCTAACGCGGCCGAACACCCTATGTGCATCGAGAGACACGTCCTCATAGTAATCGCGAAAGTCATCGTCGACAAGTAGGACCTCGCCCGGCGCCATGTATTTGGCTGATTCGCGCATTCGTTCGCCTGCAGATCACCAGAGGGCGTCAGCACATATGTATAGTCACGATGAAGCGGCGGACACGTACGGTTGTATTCCAGCAAAGACTCGCCACACTGCGGGTGGGTGCAAAAGCCGTCCGACTCGACGCATTTGAGTGCAATCTCGCGCCAAGTGATATCGCCTAGCTCCTCATCCGGAAGCATACCAAGTCCACAACTCCAGCACAGGTGTTGCCAGAACGTGTCCGCGTCGCGAAGGGAGTCGTAGAGAGCGGCGCAAGAAGGATCAGACAGGTAGAGGCAGACGTGGGTTCGTAAGTCCGACGGAGATATGGCGTCCTTCACCATACACTGCAGCTCCGGCGGTAGGGAGAGAAACGATGAATGCCGCATCTCTGACAGTGGGGCAGCTCGTCAGCAGGACTCGGTGCCCGTACTGTGACATGTGCTGGCACATACCTGTATACCTCCCAACCCGGTGGCAATGAACAACTAAGTATGTGCTTCACGGGTTCTCTGCGGGGCTCGTGGAAGAATTTCTGGCGAAGTGGCAACGGTCTTTCCGGACCTGAGGCCTTGAAGGCGGTGGCAAGTGCTGGCAGGTGGCAAGTAAGTACCACGCGAGCAGAGGCGCCCTGGCCACGATCGCGCGAGCGTTCGGCGTGCAAGTTCGTGGATAGCCACCACCACCAAGCCTCAGGGAACTCGAGGCAGGCTGAGGTATGCCAACCTTGATGTAGGTCAGCACCAATGATTGTTGACTGCTCAGTGAAGTGTCTGAACTGATGCACCTAGGCCTGTCGTTGCAGTCTGCAGATCAGCGGCTGATTGACTGGCGACGGTAGGACGCGTCGGTCCGTACTACGTAGTATTGATCCATGCTCCTACATCGAGCACGCACCATCGTGACCCTCTCTTGAGCCGCGGCCCTCAGCCGAACCGCCGGTACATTGGTGAGTGGCACTAAGCTGAAGTCTCGAACCTGAGCTGATGTCAATACGCGGTTACGCACTTCCTTTGTTCATGCATGACCAAGTTGCCTGACGGGTCCGTAGTAGCGACGGCACTCGGAGGCAAACGAGTACGCGTGCTCATTGGGTACGGCGAGGACGCGCATATGGTGGCACCGCAGACGAGTTGCCGGTCTCATCTGTCTGGTTCGCGTGCGTCTTGAGCCCCATCCTCCTTGGAGGTCGATAAGCCAATAAAGAAGGCAAGACACCGTTGAGTGTCCTGGCTATGGGACTCTTGCGTGGGATACACCGTGCATGCGAGCACGCTGTCGGAAATTCAGAGATTCGGCCTTCAGGTCCATCGTTCCACTCCGCCACCCGATGATGTCGGGTACGCCGCTCAGGTGTTGGTGTTCAACGTTCAACAGTCGCCACCGATCCTTGTCTCCAGCTATATCAAGCCGTTGAGTACGGCTGGCCTTCTCTATACCGCAAACCCGCCGCTTTTCGACTACAGCATGCAGCAGAGCGACTCGACCACCCCCACAGCACTCCTCAACCCGCAGAGTCACCGGGGCCCAACCATCATTGCACAGTCTGGGCAACGGGCCCCAGGTACGAATGTTCTTCCCAGCCAGAGGTATGTGACTCTCCATCGTATGACATCCGTCAGTTCTGAAGCCTCTTTATCAGTTCGTCCGCACTACCGAGTGCTACCACGACCAGTGCTTCTCTGAATGCGTCCGGCTTCAGCAGAACGTTTGAGCATCCCTCATACTCCCTTCCCGACTTCCGTCTTTCGGCTCACGGCGCCACACATACCCTCCAAGTCGCATATGGCGCTGCGCCATCTGCAGCACCTCCGCACTCACCGCCCGCCCGGGAGAGCCTTGCTGGGATGGCATCTGTCTCCACGCCGTCGGCGCATGCTGCCAGCGCGCCGACGCGCGTCCCTGCTCCCACTCCCTCGGCACAGGCCACTGTGGGACATCTTGACGCGAGCGCCGCGATACCAGCAACTCCCGCTACGACGTCGACCGCTTCGAGCGAGCGTTGGCCTTGCCCACTCTGTTCGAGCGACTTCGGACGTGTGCAGGAGCTCAACCGACATCTGGCTTCGGTTCACCGCCGCGGTGGGTCGGATGGGCCTCTCTGGGCCTGTTGCGGAGTGCCGGTAGAAGATGCGCGCAGCAAGCACGGTATGTCGGAGGAGGAGGTCGCGACGTCGAGGCGTGGACAGTATAATGGGCGGGCCATGGTCGGTGGATGCTGGAGTTCGAACTTCAGCCGCAGGGATGCTTATGCTCGCCATCTGAGGGACCAACACTGTATCGGAGACCCTTATGGCGAGTATCATCTGGGGAATCAGTTGGGTTAGCTGGCCTAGTGGAAGAATATTCGAACTTGGAGCTGTGATACAAGGAAAGCGCTGTAGAATGTAATTTACACAGCAATTATCATGGCAATATGGCCGAGCGGTCTAAGGCGCCAGAATCAGGCAGGATGAAATCCGGTCATATCTGGTCCGAAAGGGCGTGGGTTCGAATCCCACTGTTGTCATATCGGGTCTGATGCCTTTTTTTCAGCAGCAACCGGTTCAGAGTTTAGGGCAGGCCGTTACGCGTCAATGCGCGTTCAGCCTTGCCTCGTAAGTAAACGCGGTGTGTGCCACTGTGTGGACCGCAGTGGACCCTCACTTGTATCTCTCCACCAGCAGTTCCGCCCAGTATGTCTGGCCCAGCCGCAACATTGACTATCTCTCCCGCACTTGCGCTCCCCAACGCCACACCCAGTCTCATGCCTTTTCACATCGCATACTCAGGCCCGGCTCCCATCTCAACCTACTTTCGAATCAAACCGGCTCCTTCGCCTACTTTCGGACGCGAGCAACCACCGTCGGAGCCTCTTCTGTCCCCTGAGTCGCAACAGACCTCAGACTCTCAAGCGACCCTCGTCGGGTCCTCCTCTTCCGTCAGTACAGTCGGCTCTGTCGCGGCCGTCGGTGTGGATGTGGCTGTGGATGTGGATGTGACTACGAGCGAAGGCGACGCGACTGTTGCCTCTGCAGACTCGCGTCACTACGTAGCTGCATTCAGGGGGCGCGAAATGCATGGGGTGATGGTGGACCTTCCAGATGGGTACGCGGGGATCGTGCTCCGCGCGCCGGACGACAAGAAAGGGAAGGGGGTGGCTTCCAACAGGCCAACGGAGGAGGAAAAGCCAGTGTCGAAGGGCAGGTCCACCCGGAGGTCAAAACGCGCGCAAGAGGCGGTGAAGGTGGAAGACGAGGAGATGGACGTGGGGGACATGCCGGGGACCGCGTCGGAAGAGGGCCCGACTCGGGTGCTCGAGCCTGTGTCGACGTTCTCGTCGTTCCTCTTGTGGCACCCAGACATACCAGTGAACGATGGACGCGATGAATACGTCCGCTCTCTCAAAGAGTGGACGAGACTGGCAGCGGAGGTGAGTGTTCGTTCTAGACCAATTCGAAGGACGCTCTGTCGGCGGGAGGAGTTCCCTTTCCTTCCAGCACACCGTGGCCTACATGCTTCATTGAACTTACGCTGACATGCTGCTTTCAGATTCATCGTGTGGAGGACTGCTAGTCGTGTACGTGGCGTCGATTCCCCGGATTGGGCTACGTTGGCTCATAGGCATTGGGTCGCGCATATGTGAACGTTCCATGTTATTACTTGTACGTTGCCGGCAGGCTGTGACGACACAATCTTCTTGCGTATCTCACTGCGTAAATGCCTAAATATAACCCTTAGGATATTGTCTGTACGACACGAGAACTCCAAAGCCCGAACACGGCATACGACTTGGAATAGGGACGGTCGTTCGACCCCCTAGATGCGTGCAGCAGAACCAGCGGTAGTACGGCCTGGGTGACGTAGAGTCGAACAATGACCGATGACGGCTTGCGTCGGGTAGCCCACATGTCCGATCCTTTGTAACCCAATGTCGAACAACCCCTTCTGCAGGATCTGCGCATCAGCGCTTTGTAGCAGAAGCTGATATCTTGCGATGGTTGACTATTGAGGGAGTGTAATTGTACAGTATTAGAGTCGTCGCGAAGGGTATGAAGTCTATTTCGCAGTCCTTCTATACAACACGTCTCTGGGATACGATACAAACCCTATATACAACTACCCATATCCATCCTACCACCACTTCACCTTCTCCATCGCCGAGCTTCATGCGTCCGAGCCAGGGGTCGTGCCAATTGCGGGCCGTACAGTCGTTGCGTCAGCTTTGGGAGACCAGTCACCAGACGGAGTGCGCGACCCAGAGCGTATATTTGGGGAGGGGTCATGAAGCCTAAAGTCAGACGCAGCGCGTGGCCGCGTAGGTGACTGTCAGTGGAACAACACGATGAGGAAGGAGAAACATGCCTGGACGCGATCCACCGGGAACATAGAAGGTCACCTCACCGCGTATCCGGCCTTTCCATTCACTGTCCCAAGCTCCACCCGTCCACAGCAAGTCCAACAGGAGTCCAGCCGGGTTCCAAGGCCCACGCGGCAGCAAAAAGTGTTGGGCAGTGAGATCCTTCGAACGAGATGTGGCAATAGCGGCGACGGCGGAGCGACGAGTACCAGCTCCAGAGAGGGCGGACGGTGCAGGAGGCATGACAAGAAGAGGCAAGTTTCGCTAAGTCCTGCAGACCCTAGTGAGATGCATTTTAAAGACCCAGCGTAGACAGAACACGACGTCAGTGCAGCGCGATGCGGCAGAGACGAAGGTAGAACAGGCGGCTATTCGACACCGACGCTGTGCTACCTGCGTCTATGACGCATCGCGCTGAGTCTCTCACCTTGTGCGACTTTCCGACGTTCACCTCTTGTGAGACTTGATCGTCTTCGAGTCGAACGCACGCGCTAGACGTGCTGCGCAGGATCTCTCGACCTGTTCTGCTTCAGATTGAACAAAGTTATGTTCTATGTGTACAACTTTGCGACGGACAGTGTCCTACGTTGCGCTTTCCTTTGTACGACCTGTGCGATCCCCGAAAGCCTCGCGTATTCTAACCTGTTATATTTGAGCAAAAACGCAGTGTCTGTGTATCATATATGGTATTGTTCGGTCTTGCTTTACATCGATACCCCGACATTGGAGTGACCAACCGAGGAAGAGTGCTGGACGGTAATGAGGGAGAGTCTTCGGTGCTTTCTACTGGGTCCGGCTCTACAGTTGACTTGATGGACAAGTCTGACGCAGCAGTGCCATAGATGATCCACAGTCCGACTTCGCGCTACATACCGGATGTCAGGAAGTTAACACGGGGCGCGCTTCAAGAAGGTTCGGGGGGGGAGGGGTAGCAAGTACGGGGATCAGTGACACATACGACAAGATGGGCCGGGCGATGGGCATTGTATGCAACACTCGAAGAAGCAGGGAGGGATGCACACTAAACGGACAACGACGATGCAGCGGCCGTCCGGCCCTCGGATCCGTCTACCTCCTCCTAGCTATCCGAGCCGCGAGCGCGAGCCAACTCCGTGCAATTCAGAGTCATCGTCTTGGAGTGCCGGAAGATCCGGGTTGATGAACGCTCCGAGGGACGAGATGAAAGTGGGGGTGCTGTCGTACGGGTCCCGCGAGGTATGCAGCGGATCGTCGCGGTCGAGTCTGACGACCGTCTGGTTCGCTTCCTGCAGCTCTAGGAGGAAGCGCGAGACGAGGATCGCTGTGATGCTGCCCGGGAGAGCCCACATGTGTCAGTAGACCATAGTAGCGGGGGAGTTTAGAGGAGCAGTTGGACTGGCACGCACGGGGCGCTGAAGAGGCCCACATAGCTCGCACCCTGGACCATGACCTCGACCTGTCCGAGTGCATCAGGCTTCCAGGTAGAGTAGTTCGTTGGATACCGATGCAGCTCACCGCAGTCACAGAAAAGGTGAGGTGGATGACGTTCAGGATCGACATAGCGCTGGAGACGATCAATTGGGGATCCCTGAGGTGGTGCCTGAGGTGATGCTGTCACTGGACTTACACGAAGTATATGGTCCCTGTGTGCGGTTCGGCGCGAGTCGTCAGTCACCGCATTCTTGAGCGCGTATAACAGCGCTGCAAAGGGACGTACCATCGCGGAAGAGGATATCCGAGAGCGACAGTCTCTTGGACGCTCGAACGACCTTCAGGGTGTCCCGACTGCTGAGCTTCGTCCAGGTGATGTGTACGAGAAGGACGTCGGCGAGGATGAGCGGAACTCGAGAAATGATCACGACTGGGAGTTGTCTCGGTCAATATGCGCGGTCGGACCATATGACCACTGGCCGACCTACGCCTTTCAGAATGTCAGTACCAGTTGCTACGCAAGGAGAGACAGACCCAAACCTCAGGTTGAGTGCCTCGGTCGTGTTGTCGGTGTCGATGCATCCCCAGAACGGTATGATCGCTCCTGAGACTTGATAGCCATAGTGTACCTGCACCGAAGATTATGATCCACTCCACGGGCTTGTCGGAACATTGAGATCTGCTCACCAAGTTTGCACCTACTGGCGCTAGAGATAGAGCGAGGGCGAGCAGTCCGAGTAGCTTGCTCCTACTCAGCACAACCGCACGGAGGGCGGAGAAGGCTCATTGCAAACACAACCTTCAGCTTCGGGTGGGCAGGGCGCTTTGACCGAGATGATGACTTACCCGCCCCGGGGATGAACTGCGCTATTTGGACTGCAGCCTCCCCGAACTGGTACCTCGAACAACTGCAGAAGTCAAAAGTGGTTTCACGAGTGCCCGGGCTAACACACCAACCTCTGATTCCGGTCAGCCTTGCGGCGGAACGGCCCAAGACACTCTGACTGCGTACCTTATCCGAAGGGTAAGGCGCAAAATTGGCCATGTCCATGATATATAGCGTCATGGAAATCCCCCGGTTCGCGTAGAACAAGAATGTCGCCCCGGACCGCTTGTTGGCCGTCCAGAAGCACGCCACTTCCCGGTCAGATGTGACCAGGGCTTCGTAGATGAAGAGAACTACGGTGCAGAACGCGTCAGGCCAGTGCCAAAGATGGGCGTCGTTTGCGGTGGTGCGAACGCACCCGCTACTGAGACAGAACAGTAAGATCCACTGTAGCTATTTGGTCGTGTCAGTACGTATGTCCGTGACAAGCGGCCTCAAAGCATGCGACGTACGTGAGACCGTCCAATTGGGACGCGATTGCAGCAGCACTCGCTGTGGCATTTACGGACATGCCGGGGTCAAATATCGACTCTGATGGCGTCAAGCTTGTGGTCGAGGAATGGTCGTATGGCTGCCTGTGTTTTTATACTCGAGCACACCGGTGCGGTCGGCATATTGAACGCTGAAATACGCATGTTGCGGCGGCGGCGGAGAGGTCGACATCGAGAACATCCGAGCGACCGGATGGCGTCGCCTGGGAGAGAACTGCGAGGTGACATGAGGCAGAGCTGCATGCGAACAGTGGCATCGGAGCTGCCACTTGGATTGAGTGAGCGTTACGGGCTTGCGCGGCATGTTCTGAGTATATGTACGTTTGTGAAGCAATCAGCTACAGTCGCATATGAACATGGCACCAGCGACATACGAGCTCAGA